TGTCTCTGATGTCTTTCTTCCTCTTTTCCATTTCTTTTTTAGTTTTCATTTAAATGTTTGTTTTTTATCTTTCTTTACTTTTCTGTCTTTCTTTTTTTTTCTCTCTCTCCATCCCTGGATATTCTTTCTTTTTTTTTTCTTTTTCTTTTTTTTTTTTTGACGAGGGTGTAATTGCGACTCGCAGTTCTAACTTTGGAACGATTGTTTGAAAGAGCATTTCGGTTCCAGGTGAGAGTGGAATTCTAAATTTCCTCATGACTTATGTGTAGTTGTCAATGTGTCAGTAATAAACGAACTAATTCCCTCGTCATTTTCTTTTCATCTTTTCTTTTCTATCTGCCTCCTAATGTTCATTTCTTTCTCTCTTTGGTAAACTCCTCCCTCTCTTCGTACACTCTCTTTCTCTCTCACTTTTTTTTTTTTTTGACCGTCTTTGCCTCTCCCCCCCCGCTTCAAGATCCTTCATATAGCAACAGCAGCAGCCACTCTGTTTCTTTCTCTCCTTCTCCGTCTCTTTGTATCACAAGAGACACAGAAGATGAGTCTGGGAAAGCAATAAGTTGGGTGATGATGATGAGGAGGAGGAGGAGGAGGGAAAAGGAAAGAAAAAAAAGACGATGAAAAGGAGGAGGAGGCACTTGTTCTCCACATGTGTATCTATCTCCATATTTACGTATGTATGTATGTATGTATGTACCTACCTTACCTTTGTAATGTCATTTTAAAGAGGCCCCAATGTTATTTTATTCCGCTATAGAAAACAAATTCGGATTTGAAGACAGTGACAGCACACACATGTAATAATTTTAGCATCCCTTTTTATTTTTAGATACATAAGGTAAGGAGAGAGAGAGAGAGAGAAACGAGGAGTGCTGAAAAATTATCGTTCCAAGAAAGGGATTTTTAAAATTTTATTTTGATGTTTGGTCAGATTTTGTGGGTCCGGTTCTATAATTAATACAGCATCCCTTCGTGTGTATATATATATATATATATATATATATCTATATATATATATATATATATATATATAATGAGATGGAGAGAGAAAAGCTGAGACTGTGTGTGCGTGTTTTTGAGCGGAGGTCATTTAAAATGTCTTCTTATGTCATATAAGCAAAAAAAAAAAAAAAAAAAAAATCCCCTAGCTGTGAGTGAATGGATCTCTGTCAATTCGACCGACATAACGCTAAAATACGATTATTACCACTTCATTTTCTCCTTGCTGTCGTGTGTTTATAAAGCTAAAAGAATTAAGTTCAAACACCCTAAAATGCTCTAGGGCTACTACTGCCTTATTTTATTTTTATTTATTCACTGTTATCGGGTATCATGTGTGAAACATTAACTAACTCCCGTTTCTAATCTAAATGCCTGCCCACGAGCTAACAACGTTTATATACCAAAAATCCTGGTTTAAACATCACAATATAACTAGTTAGAGAACGAACCTTTTTTTTTTTTTTTTTTTTTCAGACAGGTCATCACCATAAGTCGAAAAGAGTTTTAGTATCGTTTTTTTTTTTTTTTTTTGGTAAATTATCAGTTTCTGCAGGTAAAAAGTGATTCTATGGAATTCCAATTTGATGGGAATACCATTTTAAAAAATATATCTCTATTTGTTGGATGAAAAAAGAACAAACATGAGTACAAACTAACAAACATTTTCTAGGAAGGGTCGTCCTGTGTAGGATCGAAAATGCTTGAGTTTTGAAAGCTGGTAACCACGGTTGTTGGGTAACTATCTTTTTATTGACCCTAAAAGAGAAGAAAACGTACTTTTTTTTTTTTTTTTTTTTTTACTAAGCAGTCAGTTTTAAAATGACTATCGTGAGAACAAGGTCTTTTTATGAGGAATTAGGAGTCTTTTTTTATGTTTTACTTGTATAGTTGCATCATTGTTATTAAGTTAAGTGTGTTAGAATGGGTAAGGTGATTGATAAAGGAACTGACTTTTTGTACCACAACTACTGCTATTTAGGCTAATATCACCATTACTAGCAGTGGTTATTGATTTATATAGCTGAAGAAGAGATTCTAAGAAATGCGACCCTTTCTTCTTCTTTTTGAAGAACCTTCCTGCTTTTCTTTTCTTTTTCTTTTCTTTTTCTTTTTTTCTTTTTCACTTTCTCTTTCTCTCTCATTGTTTTCTTTTCACTTCCTTGTCTTTGCTTTTTTTTCAACCCCCTTCTTTTCTACTTGTAACGAAGCCTTTTTTCTTTACTTTTTAAAAAAATCTTTTTCAGTCCTTATTTTAATTATTTCTTTTGTTCGTTTTTATTCCTCTTTCTTTAGTCTACTTTAAGTTTTTAATTCTCCTTCAAACCATTTGTCTTCTTTTTTTTTCCCGATTCCTTTTCGACAGCATTTCTTTTTCCTAACAGCCCTTCCTATTCTTCTTCCTTTAAGTTTATTACATCATTTTTCTCTCTTTTTAAACAAGACTCCCTTTTCTTGTCTTTTTCTTTATCCTTCATTCAGCCTTTTTTCTTCTCTCTCATTTTTTTTTCTTTTCTTTTTCAGCCTTTTATTCTCCTTCAACCTTTCTTTATTTCTAACCAACTCGTTCCCATTCTTCTTATTTTCTTCGTCTTTGCCTTTTGATTTCTTTCTTCCTCTTGAACCCTTCTAGCCTTTTCTCTCCTTTTACTATTCTTTCATTGATTTCCTCTGAGATTTTTCAAAAAAAATTCTTTCTTAAGTTAATATCTTTCCTTTTCTTTCTTTTTCTTTATTCTTCACTTCAGCATCTCTTTATTTAAACTATTTTAATTTTTAGTGCATCCCATTTTTTTTCACTCTTGATTCTTGAAGTAATTTTCTTCTTACGTTTTCTGTTCATTCTACTAAACCTCTTCTTCCATTTCCATCTTTATCTTGTCTTCCTTGTCTATTTTCCTGCCACTGCATTTTTGGTCACAACCATATCAGTTGGTCTCAATGGCACCACCATTGGTAAAGCAGTGGCTCGTCATCACAACGACGACGATACTGTGCTTGTTCGTGATGATAATGTGGACTTAGGCTTATATGACATGCAAAATGATTACAATAGCCAACAGCTGTCACCCTCACTGTCGTTACTACTACTATTATTATTATTATTATTATTATTATTATTAATAATAATGCTCATTCCTGCCTGACACACACGTATTATCAAAATCACTCTCTCTTCATTTGTTTCTTCTATTGTTTTTTCTACCTTTTCATTGTCTTTTTATTTATTTTTTTCCTTCTTCTGTACGCATTTTGGTATTTCTTTTTTCTTTTCTTTCTATAGTTTTTTGTTATATTTTTATTTTTTGGCGAAAATGTTCACTAACTGAACGTTACTCTGTTACATCATTTGGAGACACTCTTCAAGGTTTTTAAGTTTTATCAGAGATAATCGATGTCAGTCTGTTCATTATCTATCTATCTATCTATCTATCTATCTATCTATCTATCTATCTATCTATCTATCTATCTATCTATCTATCTCAGTCTGTTCATATCTATCTATCTGTCTATCACTTTCTTTTTCTAGCTATCTATCTTATTTTCTACCTATCTATATCTGTTCAAGTCTTTTTTTATCTGAGTTTCTTCATATCTATCTGTCGATTTAAGTTTGTTCGTATCTATCCCGTTGTTTTTACATATATTTGAGAAAACACACGCATCTTTATAATGCATATACGACTAGTCACGTTGTACATACACACACACACATACACATGAATATACTCGTATGCATGTAAGAAGGAATATCCGTATACTGACACACAGTACACACGGACATATTCGTGTGAAGATGTGTATGTAGTATTTATTGGTAAGCCAATTTTTAATGCGTGTAATTCTTATAATTCTTAACGTTTAAAAATAATGTATTTATGTTCAATTCCTTGTAAATGTCACTTGTATGTGTGTGTGTGTATATATATATATATATATATATATAGTCATATTCAAGTTTCATATCTCCACCCATATGAAAACAGTGTCATTTCACACACTTCCGTATATGAATACACACGCCATGTGTCACCAGTAATGTGCGATTTAACTTAAGTGTGTATTTTTAGAAGTACACACACACACACACATTTGATGCGACTTCATGTTGTCGAAATTTTATTGGATATTTGAAATTAAAATAATTTTTCAAATGTGTGTGTGTGTGTGTGTGTGTGTGTGTGCAAGCTTTTTGTAACATTATTTGTAGAATGTACCTATACAACGTATACAAACCAAAAATTGAGTAGCTAAGTAAGAGGTGTATGTGTTTTAATAAGATAAACTTTAAAAAATATATATCGAATATTTTATTTTAGTGTCTCTACTGTTCCCGAAATTATGCATTATCATTATATTTTAAATTAAAATACATTTATTGTGCAAACTGAAAGTAGTAAATGGAAGCTGTCCATTCGCAGTTGATATCATTAAAAGAAAACACATGCAAACTAAACAGACGTACAAACAGAATTACAATTTTTGAAAAATATAATTATCACTGTATGTATGTATGTATGTATATGTATGTTTGTGTGTGCACGCGTGTGAAAAAAACATACATGTGTATTTTTTTGCATACACTCATGGAAAACGGAAAAATACACACGTTTCGGAAAACTATGCATCTGTGCGAATAAATACAGACACACGCACACACATTATATAACATACACACACACACACACATATTATATATATATATATATATTCAACATTAGTTGGACACAAACATCACTTTATATTCGCACATGCACCAAAGCAACTCGGACACATGTATATAGAAACACTGAATGATCGATCCTGACTCATAACACTAACTGTAAGTGTACGAGGATCTGAGGTACACACACTTCACACATACACGCAAAGAACGCCACCCATCTACACCAACATATGTATAGAAGTTCTGGAGACACAGGCACTTACGTCTATAAATGTTACTATTTAATTCATTTTCCACGCAAAGCACAGGCACAGAGACACACACGCACAAATACTCACACGCGTGAGAGAGCCCGTGAATGGATACGCCCACACATGGGGAAATGTGTACATTGGAGACACACACTCGCTGACACAAACAAATAGAAAAAATACGGAAAAGTGGCAATTTTTTCCTTACTTAGGGTAAGAAACAAACTAATATCAGTGACGGTCACATAAGAAGAGATAGATAGATGAACAGACTGGGTTGGATGGATAGATAGATAGATAGATAGATATGAACAGGCTGGGTTAGATAGATAGATATGAACAGGCTGGGTTAGATAGATAGATAGATATGAACAGGCTGGGTTAGATAGATAGATATGAACAGGCTGGGTTAGATAGATAGATATGAACAGGCTGGGTTAGATAGATAGATAGATATGAACAGGCTGGGTTAGATAGATAGATAGATAGATAGATATGAACAGGCTGGGTTAGATAGAGACGGATAGAACAGACTGGTTAGATAAGAATACACTGGGTTACATACATACATATGAACAGACTGGGTTAGATGGTGAGTAGGATATTTCAGACCTGGTTAGATACATGCATACATATGAACACACCAGGTGAGATAGATATACACACACTGGGTTACATAGATTTATAGATAGATATGAACAGACTGGGTTAGTTAGATAGATAGATAGATGAACAAACTGGGTTACATAGATATGAATAGCTAGCGAAATAGATAGATAGATAGATAGATGAACAAACTGGGTTACATAGATATGAATAGCTAGCGAGATAGATAGATAGATAGATGAACAAACTGGGTTAGATAGATATGAATAGATAGATAGATAGATAGATATGAACAAACTATGAGATAGCGAGATGGACACACAATGAATGATATATGGATGGAAACACCCATAATTTTTAGTTGATAGATTATTTTTATTGCGTAGAGGTGGAATTTTTTTTTTTTTTTTTACTTTTTTTGTGACATTTTAAGCGAGACTTGAGGTTTGTGTATGGCTTTAAAAAGTTTAAATAAATCCTGATCTTTACCCGGTACATGCACATCGACCACGAGCGCCGATGCGAAATGTGCAACCGGCTCGGCCACCAAGCAGACTTTGACGGTCGCCATGGCACGCACTTTCCTTCCTTTCTTTCACACATGCACACACGTGTACAATTCTGTACTGTATTATATTCGACACGCACGCACAATGTAAGAATTATTAAATGCACATCACATCCAACAGCGTTTTCCCTACGGTGAAAATGACACATGTATTACAATGCTATGCTGATATATATATATATATATATATATATATATATATATATATATATTATTGTGTGACACAGTCGCTATCGACTCTGTGACACTGGTGATTATACTATCCCAGGAAAAGGGAAAATGATTTTGACCCGAGCAAAGAAAAGGATCCTCTGACGTAAGATATTTTCATCTGAAAAGATTGGATTAATTAATAATCGTACATACACAGACTAATCTACACTTCCAAGACGATTACAGGCTTCTTCAACATGCTTCTTCAAATGTACGAAGTTTCCCTCATCGCACACAGTGGCATCACACACACACACACACACTGCTTCTGCCTGGGTCTATTCTCAAAAAGACTGTCGGGTGAGGACGGGGATGTGTCGGGCGTATGCCTTTACGAAAATAATGCGTGTGACAGGCGACGCGAAACGGAAACACTGTCCTTGCTTCGATCGTTGGTGTCACGTCCGTAAAAGACGCAATCCACGTACGGAAAAATCCATACATCTCTCTAGCCATCCAGTGCCTTTTCATCTTTGGCGGGGGAGAAAAATTGCTTCTTAACTCGTAATAATGACTTGACAAGAACTGTGCAAATAGCCTACCAGCAGGCTGTGAGTTTCATTCTCGCGGGCCACTTAACGGGGCTTTGAATATGGATATTTTTGTATCTTATTTCTACAGCGGTTCGTGTACCTGCAAAAAAAAAAAATAATAATATCATTTTGATAAAAAATGTTTGCAAATTAAACACTGGAAATACACTCTTTCTTTCTCTGTGCGTATATGTATATATATATATATATATATATATATATATATATATAAAGAGGGAGAGAGAGATGAATAAAAAAAAAGAATTAGATAGATATGGGAAGAATGAGGTCGATGGAAAAAAGAAACAGATAGGAAAAAATAGATGGAAAAAGTATGTGATATAAAAATAAATAGGTAAAGAATTAGATAGATAGATAGATAGATAGATAGGGGAAGAAAAAAGACAGGGAAAGAAAGAAATAGATGCATAAATAGATAGGGAAAGAGATAGATAGATAGATAGATAGATAGGGGAAGAAAAAATAGACAGGGAAAGAAAGAAATAGATGCATAAATAGAGAGGGAAAGAGATAGATAGATAGATAGATAGATATATAGGGGAAGAAAAAAGACAGAGAAAGAAAGAAATAGATGCATAAATAGATAGGGAAAGAGATAGATAGATAGATAGATAGATAGATAGATAGATAGATAGATAGGGGAAGAAAAAATAGACAGGGAAAGAAAGAAATAGATGCATAAATAGAGAGGGAAAGAGATAGATAGATAGATAGGGGAAGAAAAAAGACAGGGAAAGAAAGAAATAGATGAATAGGGAAAGAAATAGATAGATAGATAGATAGATAGGGGAAGAAAAAATAGACAGGGAAAGAAAAGAAATAGATGCATAAATAGAGAGGGAAAGAGATAGATAGATAGATAGGGGAAGAAAAAAGACAGGGAAAGAAAGAAATAGATGAATAGGGAAAGAAATAGATAGATAGATAGATAGATAGGGGAAGAAAAAATAGACAGGGAAAGAAAGAAATAGATGCATAAATAGAGAGGGAAAGAGATAGATAGATAGATAGGGGAAGAAAAAATAGATGCATAAATAGAGAGGGAAAGAGATAGATAGGGGAAGAAAAAATAGATGCATAAATAGAGAGGGAAAGAGATAGATAGATAGATAGGGGAAGAAAAAATAGACAGGGAAAGAAAGAAATAGATGCATAAATAGAGAGGGAAAGAAATAGATAGATAGATAGATAGGGGAAGAAAAAATAGACAGGGAAAGAAAGAAATAGATGCATAAATAGAGAGGGAAAGAGATAGATAGATAGATAGATAGGGGAAGAAAAAAGATAGGGAAAGAAAGAAATAGATGCATAGGGAAAGAAATAGATAGATAGATAGATAGATAGATAGATAGGGGAAGAAAAAATAGACAGGGAAAGAAAGAAATAGATGCATAAATAGATAGGGAAATAAAGAAATAGATAGATAGACAGATAGATAAAGAAAGAAATTGATAGATAGGAAAAGAAATAGATTTGGTAAGAGATAGATAGATAGATAGAAAAAGAAGAATATGAAAAGACGACGTAGATAGATACTGCACAAATCACTCAATGTGCATCATGATGCCATGTCACTGTGGCCAGCAAATTTGTCTCACAAATCAATTCGTCAGTGCAGCGAGTTCGATCCCCACCCCGAGTGCTCCATTTATGTGGTCTTCTGCTAAGTTGGACTCTTTATTTGCCTTCGGGTTTTCCGAGAAATTCGATATTTTGTCATCCTTATGACGAAATTGTCGTAACTAGTAACGAGATAGATTTTTAACTGTTTGTAAATATCAATTCAAACATATTAGTCACTGAAATAATGTAATCTTTTTCATGGTCCGTAAAAAAGGAAGAGAGAGAGAGAGAAAGAGATTAAAAAAAAAAAAGGGTTTTACATGGTCCGACACGCTTCGGTTTTTCTTCTACACGTCATCTTGTAGATTTGTTTAAATTGAAACCAGATTCGACACGAAGCCACATCCAGTATGAAAAGAACTAATTAATTTAACGACGGTTTTTTAGTTGTGTACACATCTCTTTATTTAATTAATGTATTTTTTTTTTTTTTACAATACAGTTCACTGGTGTACCAAATCTACTCAATAAGAAACATAGTATATTTATACATTGTTTTGTTGGTGGCCATTTCATTGGAATTCGCTTTGTCACTGATTAAATAACTTTGACGCTTTTTAGACACGTGGTTTTTTGCTCCCAACAAAAATAAAAATCAACATAGCGCAGAGTAATATACTCTGTGTTGTGTTTGCATGTAGAGGAGAGATATTTAGATAAGTTTATTCTCCAAAATACGTGGGGCAACCAGTGACTAGGATCGAACACACAATATGACAATTCAAGAGCCTACAACATGGTGAACTTACTAAATGTCGCTTTCAACTTTAAACGGTAGCTATATAATTATCTATCGATTATTTACCTACAATCATAGCTATATATATATATATATATATATATATATATATATATATATATATATATATATGATGTAATGAATGATAATTTCTTTTTCTTTCATTGTGTGTATATATATTTATATATATATATATATATATATATATATATGACTGACATGATGTAATGAATGATAATTTCTTTCTCTTTCATTGTGTATATATATATATATATATATATATATATAAACAATTTAAAAAATAAATATATAAATAAATTTATTTCAATTTTTTAAAATTTATAAATAAAATGTCAGTTCACTTGTAAATTTAACATTGAAACCATCTTTTTTTTTCATTTTGTTTGAAATTAATTTTTAATTTTTTAAATTAACTTTTTTTTCCACGTTTTCTTAATCTTTTTATATTTGTCGCTTTCCACATAGTCTCTTTTATTTCATTTTTTATTAACCTTTCTTTAAAATATTTTGCTAGTGAAATAAAATGCGAATAATAATAATAATAATACCTCTTATTTTTACTGAGCTTTTGAGATCGGCAAACTAAACATGAGAAAATGTATGACTCGCACACACAGACACAAAATCAGTCGATGGAAGAAAGAATTAAAATTTAGAATTGAAATTGACTGGCGAAATGCTCGTCCGTTGTTCATTCATACACACAACGACATTTACACTCGCACTTTTCCGTAAACGTACATTACAATATGTTATATAGTTAAGTACGTGCAAGCAAAGAGTTCGGGGTTCAATTTCAGCTACCGTTTTGTTCAGGCAATTATTTGAAATTCTAGAAAATTAATTTATATGGGCGCGGGGGGGTAACAGATGTAAAAAAAAAAATATTTTTACCAAGATTTTCTAAAAATAAAAATTTCAAAAATAAATTAATTCATTTTTGAATAAGTCCTGAAAGTTTCATTTAAATTAGACAATTATTTGATTTTTGCAAGAATTTCCAAATTTAATGGGTTTCCCCCGAAATTGTTACACGAAAAAAAGCGATGACCACAAATCTTACGGAATTAACAAAAAAAAAAAAAAAAAACAGATTTTTGACCCAAATTTAGAACGTGTTAGATAGAAGAAAAATTTTTTTTTTAAATATTTTAAAAAATACTTTGTTCTTTCCTCTTAATAATAACATAAACATTTTAATGATGAAACTTTTTATTAAGTTTAGGAACTTTTATCATTATGCTATACTGATTTTTTAGCGAATTATTCGAGGTACCTATAAAATTTACATTATTTACATTCGATCTATTGTTCTCTGTTGTTAAAACGTTTCGACCGCTGTGCCTTCTTCTGGTATCTGTCAATCTGCGTAACCTTCAGGGAATTTCGAAATGAACCCTGGTAGTAGATCATTCTCGATCCGCTGGCCCATGTCTCGGGATATACATATATATTTTTATTAAATCCTGAGTCTGTACTTTCAGACTGAATTCACATTTACTATGCCGCCATATTCAAATCTCCCTGAATGTTACCTGGATCAAACAGACGCTTGAAAAAATGCTGGGGGCACAGCGGCCGAAATGTGGCAATAATAACAAAAAAGATGAGGACATTAGTTCGAATGTAAATAATGACAACTCTTTATTCAATTCCACCAGTTCAAATTTTTACAGATAAGAAAACTCACCATGTTGCATCCACAGAGTCGAATCACCCTCATTCACTTCGTATTCTGTTTGTAAGAAGGAAATTTCGCTCAGATAGCTTCTTCGCAAAAACTTATTTTGTGAAAGAGACCAACGCGTGCATGCTTCTCCGAGCACGACAATCTTAACCTTGTTAGTCGTTATGTATCCTCCGCACCCTCGTAATCTTCACTTTCTACTTCCTTCTCTTACATCCGTGACACGCACCTCATTCAGGAACACTGAATGGATCTTAGACGTTGTATTGAGCAAACACCATTAAAATAAAATAATTCAAACAAGTAATAAGAAATAATGTTGGATTAAAAATAGAAATTAATTTATTCCTTAGAAATGATTTTGTTTACATTTTGGATACGAAAATAAAATTAGTACGTATGAGCATTTCAAGAAGATATACATTCCTTAAAAGGGTAACTGAAACTTACTGGAGAGTGAAGTTCTCTGTGGCATAAATATATCAACCCACACAACAACATAACAAAAATAAACAAACCAAATTTTTATATATATATATATATATATATATATATATATATATATATATATATATATATATAAACACGTATATATATAAAAAACAGATACAAACGCAAACTTAAAACACACACACACACACACACATATATAGGCATATACATACATAAACCTACGCATATTCTAACAATATTATCTTAGTGACGATAATGGCCTGAAAAGTCCATACAAGATTAAAATGTAACGAGATACACTTGTTGATTATTAAGTCTATAAGCAATTTTAAAGCATTATCAAACAAAAGTAGATTTTAGTTAGTATTGATGATACATTCAAATACACTAAGATATACATACATATACATATACGAAGACATACGCACATACATAATGTATAAATACCCATACATATATATACACATATATAAGTACGCACACACGCATATGTATATATATATATATATATATATATATATATATACACACACACACACACCCGCACATGTAGACAAATGCCAAAGTTTACATACCTATCCATACGCACAAGCATACATACGATAGGTGTCAACACACACACACACACACACACACACACATATATATATATATATATAACTATAAGTATAGATATATTCGTATATACACATAAACACACACACATTCAACCATATATATATATACCCCCACATACATACACATAAACACATACATACATACAGAAGTACACGCAAATAGAAATATATACATACACACACCTGGACATATATATATATATATATATATATATATATATATATATATATATATATATATATATATCAAAAAACACACACACACACACACGAACAACACAGTACACGTACACCAACACACACCCACATCAACAGGAGGACCATCAGGTAATAAAAATAATAACCTACTAAACTTCCAGTGACATATCATTTATCGTTGAAAGTATTACAACCCCTATAGTAAGTTAAATTTATAGCGGTCTTTACAGTTAACCGTATGTTCATATCTTTGATTTAACAGATGTGTCTTATTTTTAAATCTAATTATTTCAATTTTTTCGTTAGATAATAAGGGGCATATAGGGAGTTACATGTTTGGGCTCTCTTGATTAATTTCCATTTAATAGTAGGTGTTTTATTCTTTTCTTTTAGACTCCAAAAATACTTGGATAATGAAGTCTTGTACTCATAATTACTGCTATTAAAAATTGCATATGCCCCCGCCAACATTCCTTGAATGAATTCATGGTGCTACCAATGTAAATTTTTTTTTTTTGATATTTGGGTTTTCTAGTGTAGAGATAGTACTAAGATAAACTACAGAACTAGTCAAACAATTATTCTGTAGTGGACAATTATTTGGATTCCTACAATTGCACAAGTTATTATTCGTGTCATTATACTTAGTAGTACTACTTGCAACCTGGTGAGTAGTCAAGTTTTTTGAGTCCCTATACTTGTTAAAGACTCCGTTGTTATGTTTCTTAATTATTATCTCTAGGTTATCCGCACAACTATAGCTTAATTTAAGGTTATTAGGATTGAATATTTTGCTAAGTGGGTTAGTTTCGGGGTCGGAGAAATGTTTCTTGATGAGGTTTAGAAATATACGTCCTAATTTAGTTTAGCCATTATATTGAAAGGGGGAGTAAACCAAATGATCTTTCTAGATCTTCTTTTCTTATGGTTATAATTGACAGGGTTTCTATGTTGAATTGTGGTATCCTTCTGTTCACTATTTTTAAGGGCAGAATTGTAAAAATCACGATGTTTATTAAAAACGTCTTTGTTAGAAGAGTTACTACTAACCCTAAATCCAATGGAGGAGGGTATGTGCTTGATAACCGAGGGTGGGTGGGTGGTTGGAATTGAGATACACATATACTGGGTTGGAATTAACCTTCACATAAGGTTGGAAAGTGTTGCTAGTAAGGTCTAGGTTGACATCCAGAAAATCTACTTGTTTAATGTTAGTTGTAACTACAGTCCTAAGACCTAAATCCTTAAATTCCCTCTGGATCATTTTCCTAATACGGTCTACCTTAATTTTAGTAGAGTTTTTAATAACTAATAAGCCATCATCTCTATATAATCCTACACTATCAGAATCTAGACATTCAAAGGCACTTATATTGTATAAAAGAAATAATCCAACCAAATCAGAGGCTTCTGCAGAATCCAAAGAGCCCATTGAAATGTCAAAATTATCGCTGCAAGACTTTTTGCTCCACTGTTCTTCATTGTAGACCAGAACAGAATTTCGGCATTTCATGATTATATCCACTTCACTTTCAGAAATACTGGAGTATTCCCGAGCGAACTCCAAGGCCAAAGTGAACAGATTCTTCGATATGGAGGGATAATAGTCGATAATATCGAACTGTATGAAAGTGCAGATGTCCTTATATTGGATGACATCAGCTGTGTTAATCCACTGTAAGAGTCCAAGGGTATTTTTTATGGTGTGGTTGGTTCTTTCCAAGATGGTTTTACTGATTCTGCCGATTTCTGGTCTAGTAGGGTTAATAAGCCTTGTTGATGGCTTAGTTCTGAAATCGGGTTTATGGTCTTTTAACAAAACATACACTTCCTTAGTTTGCAGCTTACTGAAACGATCACTTATCCGTAGTTTGTCAGTAATTGATTTACTGACACAGTTAATCCTATCTATCTGGTTAAAA